CTCAATTGCCCAGATATGCTACCGTCATCGCCATTCGCTGTATGCAGCCTTTTATATTTCGCCTTGGCTTCTGGCACACCAATTAGAAGGGATGCCGTGCCCTCAGACGCAACTAAGGCCGCGGTCGATGCCATGATGGCATTGTATGATGAGAAAACAGGTCTTTGGGATCCCAACAGTACCACATCATCATGGTGGCAGAGCGGTGTTGCTCTTTGGGCCCTCACAGAATATATGATCAAGTCAGGGTCTCACGACTACCTGCCTCAAGCACTGAATACAGTTAAGATCCAGCGGCAGCCCCTTTCTTGGTGGCCGGATGGAGATGGCGATTTTCGCGCTGACAGCACTGACGATACGGGGTGGTGGGCTCTCGCCATGACCAGCCTATACGATCTTACAGGCGATGAAGAGTACCTGCTTATCGCAGAGGAGGACGAGGCCTACATGTATAAATACTGGAACACAACAACATGCTCCGGGGGGCTGATTTGGAGTATTCCGAGCCGTACTTATCATAACGCCATTAGCAACGAGCTTTATCTGCAGCTCACGGCTAAGCTACACAACCTTGTCCCTGGAGATACGACATACTTAAACCACAGCCTACAAGAGTGGGGATGGTTTAAGAACAGCGGCATGATCAACAGCGACAACCTTATCAACGACGGGCTAACAGACGACGCATCCTGCGTCAACAACGGAATGACAACGTGGACATACAACCAGGGCGTAATCCTAGGTGGTCTTGTCGAATTGTACAAAGCCACGGGGGATACGGCATACCTCGACGAGGCGCAGCAGATAGCAGACGCGGTAGTCAGCAGCGCGACTCTTGTTCAGGACGGGACATTGACCGAGCCCTGCAGCAGCGAAGAAGCCTGCGAGCCAAACGGCACGGCATTTAAGGGTATTTTCATCCGAGAGCTGGCCAAACTCAACGCCGCCCTAGATGAGCATCCCTACCGTTCTTTTATATCACAAAATGCGGTCACCGCGTATGAGAACGCGCGGAACGGGTCGAACTTTTACGGCTTCCAGTGGCAGGGGCCGTACGATAGTGTCACGGTCGGCACGCAGGAGGCTGCCGTTCAGCTTTTGGTCGCGGCGTATTTGTAATGCTTAATCTGAGGGTGGTCTGAGAGTTTCACAATAGGAGAAAGAGATGTGTCATGATAATTCTTGCAGGGCATGTTGGGCAGCAATACATCCAGCACATAAGACATAGGATTTATCATAGAGCAGACAAATAAAGCGGAGTTAATAAATACCAGCATCCTGGAGTTACTATTCACCTACGTAATTGTCAAGATGTGGCGTGAGCAGCGACTAGGATGCCCTGGTAGTTGGTTCCTTGCTAGATAGTTGCTATTGTTCAATGAGTTCTAGCATCAATATGCCTAGAGCTGTAAACTAGCCATAGGGAAAGACCCCCTATTCAATTAACTAACTGTTATAGAAGGGAAATAACCGCTCACTTTGCCTCGTAAAAGAACGAATACATCCTCATGTCGTCTTAAATGTCATTATACTTATATATTATCCACCGTATCTTTTGAGCAAATCCTTGAACATCGTCAGTTATCGTACCTAGTTGGGTTATAAAGGCAATATTATTTCCTCGTGATAACCATCCCTAAACGCTCCCCACCATCTTTTTGAGCAATACCTAACAATCCAATCACTAGTTCTTCGTCCACCGTACCGTGATCATACGCACCTATCAACTAGCGCCCTCCAAAATGGCTACCATTTCGCGATGTTGCGCCGACCGTGCAATATCCAACGCGGTCTGTCCCGAATCGTTCTTTATCGTCAAGTCTGCACCATGCTCCAGCAACACTTTGACATTCTCCCTGGAATCCCACTCAGCGCAGAGGAACAGGGCAGTGGGGTAATCGTCGTAGTAAAAACGGTTGACATCGGCTCCTTTCGCCAGCATATACTCTGCTAATTTCGTATTTGAACACGCGTTCGCCCAGAGAAAAGGGTCTCTTCCGTGGTGGTTTTTAATGTGCATGCCAGCACCGCTGTCTATTATCACTTTGGCGGTTTCGAAATACTCTTCATCGCCTAAGCCGCTTAGTACCACGCCACCTTGATGCATGTTAGTGGTGGTGTTGGGAGGCTAGATACTTAGAACTTACCGTCAGTCGGATAGACATAATTCACATCCGCTCCACTTTCTATTAGAATGCGGGTCAACTCGACATCTGTCAGCACCCTTGCAGCTATTTCTAACGGGACATATCCGGTGTCGAAAAAGGTTGTTAATCTCTGGTGAAAGCGGATACTTTCGTCAAGTTTGTCCTGCGTCTCCGGCGGAAGATAATCGTTCGCGTTAGCACCATGGGCTAATAGTAATTGAACAGCTTGTTTTCGTTGCTGCATCATGGCAGAATATAAAGGAGGAAGTCCTAAAGAACATTGGTTGTTAACTTCAAACTTGGATTATATTTAGATATAGTTAACCATTGCTGACCATATTTATCTTTCATGTTAGGGTCAAACCCTGCGGAAAGAAGAATCTCTAGACTCTGAAGGTCGTTGGTCTCGAGAGTTTGGTGGATAAAGTATGGTCTAGAGGTCGACTTGTTGAATCTTGGTGCCAGAGATCCGAGCAATGGTCTAATGCCCGGCATCTCTTCTATCCTCTGAATTAATGGGAAAATCATGTCAACGGATCCTGTTAGGGAGCATCCTCTTTGCACTAAGATGTTGGCAACATTCAACGCCTCGGATGAGAGAGCGACGTTTAGGGGAGAACGGAGAAGATTGTCACGTGCGTTGATATCAGCACCATGGTCGAGGAGGAGTTGAGCAATCTCCGCGTCATTATATATGGCGCAGAAATGAAGTACTGTTTGTCCATCTTGGGTTCTCTCAGCTGTTGAATAGCCGTTTGAAATGAGACGCATTATTCCATCGCTATTCCTAGCTCTAACTGCTTCAAGCAAGGTGATTGGTTCTGCTGAGAATGGATTAAGTAGTATATCACTGGATGTGTGTGAGCTGGACTTATAGTGCCCCGGCGATAGTATAACTGAGGGTTCTGGCAACCGATCAAGGTATCTGTTCAAAGGAAACGCAGTGTCTGTCGATTGAGACATAGATTGTCGTCGTCCCCCGAAAGCCGAAACGCTCGCAACATCGTCTTCCATCCTCTTGCGGACTCTCCTTCCGCTATCTCGGCCACGGAGCTCGATAGAAAGCTTCTCATAGACCTTGTTGACATCATTCTTGATTTCATCTTGACCTTTCCCTTCGAGGAATCTGCATTAAAGTCAGTATAGCTCGCAAGACAGACAAAGAAGTTACAATAGGGATTTTTGTGGACCACGAACCCATTTATTACTGATATCGTGATATTCAAGCTTGCTTTACCCTCCTGGAGTCTTTCTCTCAGAGCTTTAACTTCACCTTTCCGCATGACCCAGCCAACCCTCTTTATTGGGCTTCTCCTCCCCGTTCCTCTCAGGGGCTCTATAAGTGTATAAATAGATTGCATGCTGTCTTGGCATAGGTCAGTACATTCCGCCAAGCTCTTTTCCAACGCAAGGTCCTCCGATTTTATATCATATTTGGCGCACATATCCTGGATAGATTCAAGCACCGCGGAAAGATTTTGTACGTCGCGGCGGATATGGAGCATCTCCTGCGGCGCATCGGCCATCTCCTGGATTAATGAAATGAGTGCTCGTGCTGTAGATACGGCAAGCCCAGTGACGCCCACGACGCTGGCTGCCATTGACAGCGGATCGGCCATGTTGGATTATATGTCAGACGATCTAATATCGCTAGTTAAAGGGGTGATAGTTATAAGTTTGTGAATTATTAGTTCTCTTGATTCGTTCTTATAAGCCTAGATATCATAGGCCCTAAGTTGCTAGTGTATGTTGAGGTATAGCTTGGGTCGTAGGGCTTAGCAGGACAGCGGCAGTGCCAATTTAGTGTAGTGGGTGGCTGCCTCATTCGCATGGTTGCATTATGCTATTTATATCGTTGTATCATTGGTTGACTGGGGCTGAGGCATAGAAGCATTATGTCCCTAATGCATGCCTATAATTTCGAACGTATTTATACCAATCTGCACGGCCGCCTTGGGCACCTCAGGGGATTATCTGTGGTTGTAATCCTTCTTCCACGTTCCAAGTCACGAATGTCGACTTCCAAAATATAAGCATCTTCGATAGCCCAGGCCGGTCGGCCGTCATCGGTATATACATATCGGGCAACAAGATTTCGTCCTCCAAGGTGCTCACCCTGTCTATATAATGATGGCATTTCAAACGTTACCGTTGGAGGTGTTCGTCTTCGTCTTCGTCGCCGTCTTCGTCTTGGTGTTGGTCTTCGCGTTGCAGTAGTCAAGCCATGCACCAGAGTTGCCAATACACCAATGAAAATTGCCCGGAATAGGAGGGCAGACATGATGGTGGTTACTAGAGCGATAAGTAAAGTGTAGATAACGAGTACTTGATGCGAATGTGAAGAACGTCTGTTTGACGCACGTAGATTTGATGTATAGGAATAGGAGGCTTAGGTGAAGTAATATGAATAGTTTTTAGTCTTCGGTATGGTTTGAGGGGTTGGGACATATTCCCGTAAGAGCTCTCTGGATATTACATACCTGACCACCTACTTAAGGCATGCATACTAGACTAGGTATATACAATCATCTATGACTTAGCTGTCTCAGTAGTAAAACTACGTTCGAAGGTTTACACTTTGATTCCTGCTATGAAGTGGCTATCGTGCTAGCTGTTTAACCATTCTACCTAATATAAGCTGTGCGCGGACATCGGAAACACTGAACAATATAGCTCCAAGGCTAAGCTTCAACATTCATCAAGGTGTTATAAAAGGCTAAACATTGTTGTATGAAAAGAATAGATTAACATAGGGTTGCTATATTAATAGCGGATGCGTCACTAGCTAATAAGATTTGAATGGCTAGTTTTTGTTTTGTATATAATGTTTAAAAAGCAATAATTCTTTCGTAGTCCGAATTGGTGTAGTGGCTAACATTTGACGCTCTCATTATTCAAGGTGACAGGAACCGTCAAGCCCGGGGTTCGATTCCCCGATTCGGAGTTTCTTTTTCGTTGTGGATTATCTATCTCATTTTAATGAATTGATTCGGATATATATATATTTTTTCTTCCCTTGGGGGGGTTACCTTTTATTTCTTTCTCATGTACTTCATGCTATCCCCAAGCTTGTCTTCATTTGTGTTATTTTATTTTAGAAGCGTTAGCTGGTTTAAAATATTTGACTATCAATTATCAAAGTGGTATTTTAGACATTAAACGTCTCCTGTGTAATTGGACGTTGGCATAAAAGTCCAAGGTGGACATCCTAGCCATGTGATAAGAGATAAAGACGACAGCATCTCTAAGGATACCGTGAGAAAGCTCTAACGAAAGCCAAACACCAGCGCTATGTGCTTAAGATTCACAAATCAATCATTAAAATTCAACCATTTCAGCTTGTTTACGCCTGTGCACGTCCACCACTTCCTGTTTTAACACCCTCTAGAACAACAGCCCAAGTACCAGCTTCGCCTCCAAATCCAGCATGACCAGCAGCAATCCGGCGCATGAGAAGGGTATCCTTTGCCACGGCCAGTCGCTTCCCCTCGCCGCTCTCTAAGGTCTCTCTAAACCACTGCTCTTCCTGGGCGTCAAACGGCAAGCTAGTTAAATCGAGTGCCCTCTCGGCCGACTCGTCATCATGGGCGGATTCTAGCACGGAGAGGACGAGGCGCTTAAAAAGTTGCCGACGCATGAACTCGGCATGCGACCGTGAAAACTGGAAGGCGTCGATGACGCTCGACCGCGCGAGGGCATTGAACAGTAATTCTAACGCAGAAGACGATTGGATAATAGGCTCAACTGTATGGTAGTAGGCAAGAGGAAGACTGTAGTCCCCATTCTTAGCGTTGCGGACGAGGACGGTGATAATATCGTCGACGAAATCGGGCTGGAGCGAGGGATGTGTAAGATACTGTAATGCGAGATCGAATTGCAAAGCATCCATGTGCCATAAGCCCTTCATAAAGGTTCTGTAATTCTTAGGCATGCTGGTACGCTGGGCATGGGTTTCTGCTCGGTTAGAACCGTTGCGATCGTCAACATCGAGGAGTAGATAAAAGACCACCGAGAGCTTGTGGTGGATGGTGGCGTTCTTCGTCTCGCATATTTGGGTGTATAGCTGTCGAAGGGCGTCGCTATTCTTAGGAGGGTATTGACTGGCAGCTACACATAGAAGCAATGTCAATATTTAGCTAAGACTTCCGGAATATGCTGGATAAAGCAAGCATATTAGGTACCTTTTGATAAATTCAGAGCTTTCATCACCCGGTCAATAAATAATGAGCCGTCAAGATTCTGACGAGAAGCCTCCAGGTGTTGGGTAACTTTGCGGTCGTAAGGGAAAGGATCCAGAGAACCGAAGATACGGTCGAACTTGAATGGATCTAACATTTTTCTTCCTTCCTTCCTTTCTTTTCTCTTCTTATTCTTCTTTTTTTCTATTTTTTTTTCTTTCTATTGGCGATTGAAGAGGCTTAGAATCTTGGAGTTGAAATTTTCGTAAATACGAATTATTCGATGATATTATAACTTGAGACGTAGTTTTGAAAGAGTGGTAAAAATGTAGCAGCGCATGCGCAGGCGATTTATCGGATAAGATGCTAAAATGCTAAGAAATAACCGCGTTTGGATAGCTGTTGGCCATTGGAAAGAAGCTGCGACGCGCTGTTGATTATTTGCTTAGTAATGACTCTAATTCCGGTGATTGTACGGAATACGTACATAAGATGTACATTACAGAATGTAGGTGCAGTTGTAGCGATTGTGGTGGGGTATTGTACCTTATTGGAAAGTGTGGGGGATAAAGTTATTTCAGTGTTTTTGTTTACTTTCTACCCCGAGACCCAGGCACCTCCTAATTTATTCCTGCCGTTATCAATTATCAATTTATCAATTTATCAATCAGGCCAAAACGTGTTGCCGGCAACAACAATTACGGACATTAAAGACAACGACACCGGCTAGCCGACAAATCTTTGTAATTACAACTACACGTGGCCCAACTAATAGATTCCTTTCCTCTACGATAACCCAATTTGATCAGCAATGTCATCAAGGCCGACTCGTCGTGCCGCAGCGGCTCGACGCACAGCTATTATTGAATCGGATGATGAAGAGGATGCAGTCGCAAACACTAGCAGAAAGGTAAAGGAGGAGGAAAGCGAAGAAGAATTTGCCCCGGAGGCATCAACCGCTAGAACTTCGCGGCGTCAAACTCAGAGTAGAAGGAAATCTGCTGTACCAGCGACACCGCGCGTGGGTCGACCAAGGAAAAGTACTGCTAGCGTCGCCTTGGAGTCCTCTATAGAGGAAAGCCAAGTCCCCGATCCCGATAAAACAGCTACCTCAATTCTCAGCCCAGAGCCGACGCCGAATAAGCCGACTTCGAGGAAACGAAAGAGCGTTGCGCCGCGCAAGGCTGTCAAAGAGCTTACACCCATCAAGGAGCCCACGCCTGAGCGTACGCCTGAGAGTCAACGCCGTATTCCGACACCCGCTCAGTCTGAAGAACCATCCGAACTCCACGGCACACCCCGGGCTGATGTCACCGACCAGAGTGTTAACGAGCAACAGCAAGATCCAGATGAGACCATTACTCAGGTTAAGCCTATTAAAGCCATGGACACTGTCCTAGAGAGGCCCATGGATATTGTTCTCAAGTCGCGTAAGATGGCAGTGCCCGTCGTTGAAGATACAGGCCCCAAAGCCCGTATTGTTATCACATACTTGATCTTGACCAACTTCAAGAGTTATGCCGGAAGACAAGAGGTTGGCCCGTTCCATTCCTCTTTCTCTTCGGTGGTAGGACCCAACGGTTCCGGTAAATCGAACGTCATCGATTCGCTTCTTTTCGTCTTTGGATTCAGGGCGAGTAAGATGCGACAGGGCAAGATATCTGCTTTGATCCATAACTCCGCCGCCTACCCAAATCTAGATCACTGCGAGGTTGCTGTCCATTTCCAGGAGGTCATGGACCTGGTTAGTTTACCATACTATAATGTCAGACGAGGGTAACATGCTAATTTTACTCTTAGCTCGGTGGTGGAACGGAAGTTATTCCCAACTCACAAATCATCATCTCGAGAAAGGCATTCAAGAACAATTCTAGTAAATACTATATCAACGGAGGCGAGTCTAATTTCACAACGGTGACGACTCTGTTACGTGACCGGGGAATTGATCTCGATCATAAGCGTTTCCTCATCCTGCAGGGTGAGGTTGAGTCGATCGCTCAGATGAAGCCCAAGGCGGGCAACGAACACGAGGACGGTCTACTAGAATATCTTGAAGATATTATTGGCACCTCCAAATATAAGACGCCCATCGAAGAGGCGGCAGCGGAAGTAGAAACCCTTAACGAAGTCTGTATGGAGAAGAGCGGCCGTGTTCAACATGTGGAAAAGGAGAAAAACAGCCTCGAGGATAAGAAGAATAAAGCTTTAGCCTTTATCCGGGACGAGAACGACTTAACTCTTAAGCAGTCAGCACTCTATCAACTCTATATCAGCGAGTGTAACAATAACGTGAGCGTTACTGAAGAGGCAATCAGCCAGATGCAAGCTCAGCTTGACGCAGAACTCGAGAAACACCAGGGCAGCGAGCATGTTATTAAACAGTTACAAAAAGCTTATGCTAAAGGGTCCAAGGAATTTGAGGCACAGGAAAAGCATGTTCAGTCTCTTGTTAAGGAAGCCTCGAAGTTTGAGCAGGAAAGAGTCAAGTTTGACGAAAAACGCAAATTTTTAACTGACAAGCAGAAGAAACTAGAGAAGACGATTGCGAATGCTGAAACAGCTGCAGCTGAAGCTGAAGAAACCGTTGAACAGTGCACTGAAGAAATTGCTTCACGTGCTGAAGAGATCGCAGATCTTGAGCAACGTGTGCAGGAAGAGGAGGCGGAACTTGCAACGATACGAGACAGCTTAAAAGGCAAGACACAAGGTTTCTCAGACCAGATCGCCGCGAAACAGAAGTCCCTTGAGCCTTGGAAGGAAAAGATCAATCAGAAGCAGTCTGCGATTGCTGTTGCAGAGTCTGAAATGGCCATTCTAGAAGAAAAGGCTAATTCTGGCGCTGTTGCACTTGAGGAGATGCAGGCAAAGATTGCTAATATCGAAGAGGGCCGAAAAGCGAAACTGACAGAACTTAAGGAGTGCCAGGCAGAAAAGGCAAAACTGGAGAAAGAAGCAAAGGAGATTGTAGCTGACCTGGAAAGCCGGGTCCAGATGGAGCCGAAGGCTCGGGCAAAGGTTTCGAATGCTCGACAAAAAGCCGAAGAAGCACGATCCAGTCTTTCTCAGACTCAGACACGAGGCAATGTGCTTAGTGCATTAATGCGAATGAAGGAATCCGGACGAATCAATGGCTTTCACGGCCGTCTCGGAAACCTCGGTACGATTGATGAGAAATACGACGTTGCTATCTCTACGGCTTGTCCAGCCCTCGACAACTTCGTTACTGACACGGTTGAAACCGGTCGGCAGTGTATCGAATATCTTCGCAAGACCAACCTTGGACGGTGTACCTTAATATGTTTGGATGAGCTTCGTAAATACAATTTGCAACCTATCCAAACACCCGAGAATGCGCCGCGCCTATTCGACCTGATAAAAGCTAAGGAAGACAGATTCCGCCCTGCTTTCTACCGCGTGCTACAAGATACTCTAGTCGCTAAAGACCTAGTTCAGGCAAACCGAATTGCCTATGGCGCCGGAAGATGGCGAGTGGTCACGCTTGATGGAGAACTTATCGACAAGAGTGGTACCATGTCTGGAGGTGGAAATACTACTAAGAGAGGTTTGATGTCAAGCAAGCTCGTGGCTGATACGACTAAGGAGCAAGTCACTAAACTTGAAAACGACCGCGACGCCATTGAGCAGGGGTTTCAGGAATTCCAGGAGCACCAACGAGAACTTGAGTCTCGTCTAAGGTATCTAAAAGATCAGATTCCCCAGTTAGACACCAAGATGCAAAAAATTGGCCTAGAGATCCAGAGTGCGG